TAGTAAATGACAGAAAATGTCTTATAATTAAGTCAATGTAGGCATAATTATACAGGGTGGATTCAGGGTAAGTAGAAAAAGGATAATTAGGAGTAAAATACCTGTCTGAAAGCTGTCCTGAGACTAGGGACCCAATGAGATATCCCACAAATAGACTCGAGGATGCAAATGGAACTTTCCATTGGTTGTCACAAACAAGGTCCCACTGTAAAAGATGCGAATTACATAATAAAAAAACAGCTTAAAGCTTTCAAAACTGGAATTTCATGTTAGTAATCATAATAATATAGTACTGACCTCAGTGACTATAGTGGATTGGTAGATTTCTTTGCTGTAATTCCATCCATCTAAACATCCCTCCTGCTCCAGGGTTGTCAGGTTAACTTCTCTTCCAGGAATATATCCTTGTGCAGAAAGATTTCTAACCACGTCTATCTTATATCTGCTGCACTGGCTCTGAACTTCCTCACCATCCACTATCGTAAAGGGAATGATGGCATCTCTCCACTCCTCGGTCAGGTTGACGTCTGGAATCAAACAGTGGTGTTTCGGAGCTGCTCCAACAAAGACAATGTAAAGCCCGTTGAATCCGGTTGACACAAAAACAACATTTAGGAGAAAGAATGTGGTCCAGAAGTAAGGACCGCTCTGTCCAAGAAATGCTGTATCGTCATCATAATCTCCCATTCTTTATATATAAGTATATTACAAAAAATACCTCCCTGCTCTGAAGGGAAAAAGGCAACGTCTTGTAAAATTCTTCAGAGCTGGCTTTCTTCTTAAACTCTTCAGCTTAGTGTCAGAGTGTTAGAGCTGAGCTCTTTGTCAGGCAGAGTGAGCCGGTCTCTTGGTGGGACGGAGTTAAACTTTAAATTTAAGTGCTGAGTTTTAAAACCTCCTTTCTAAAGGATAAATTTTCATCGCAATGTGAAACTTCTTGTTGATCCTCTATTCTTATAAGCAGTCAAGGCAGAAAATGAATCGAATATTAAAGAATGACAGACAGCTCATGCGGTAATTTGATTGGATTTGATTTACTGTAAGTAAGAATAACCAGAAGCTTCATAGTTACCCAGCCCCCTCACCCAGCCCCCTCACTACTGTGGAAATTTCCTCTAAACAACATTCCACTCTATTAAATACTCCCAAGAAGTCCACGTGCCTGTACTCTAAATGTTGCTAAGAAGAATTAGGTCTCTCACTGGACTATTTTAAGAAACTCTGTTAAGGCAGACATGACTTCATGTAGATTAAAGATTTTTTGTGTGCACCTATTGATCATGCTTTTGTAAATTTACTACAGATTTTTATATTTAGCCACTTTTACATCATGTACATGGTTTGGAGACTGATCGGGGTCCTGTATTGCAGCTTAAGTTCAATTGCATTTTTAATAAGACATAAAATATATAAACAAATAAATAAATAAATAAATAAATAAATAAATTCCTCTTTATAAATAAATAAAGAGGAATGATTAAAGTAAAAAATTACAAAACCTACAGGCAAAATCTTTATACTCTAAGAACAAAAACCCAGATCGTGTAGAGAGTGCTTTTTCTTTTTAAACAATTTTAAGTGATGAATTTTGTCTGTTTTTAGCTCATCTAAGAATTGCATCACCTGCATTATCGTAATTAATTTTAGAGCTAAAGCTGCTGATATCCATCTAATGTACACTCACTACTGACAAACCGCTGATGATCAAACTCTAAGTGTTTTCTTTTACTGTGAACATGGCATGGTTGGTGGTGCCAAAGAGGCTGATCTGAGTATTTCAGAAACCGTTGATCTATTGGGATTTTCCCATGCAAACATCTCCAGGGTTTACAGAGAATTGCTGTCTTTATGACGATAATGTATCCATCATCTGGTGGCTGCTTTCAGCAGGATAACACGCTCAAAGCTCAAATCATTTCAAACTGGCTTCACCGTACTCAAGCGGCCTCCAGTGTCACCAGATCACAATCCAATAGAGCACCTTTGAGATGTTGTTGAATAGGACGTGTATTATGGTTGTGCAGCCAATGATTCTGCAGCCAAGGCATGACAGCATTTTAATATGCAACATAAGCTCTGAGAAATGTTTTCAGCATGTTGTTGGGTCAATGCATTCAGAAATTAGGTCAGTAATGGGCGCAAAACGTGGTCCAGACGAGTATTTGCAAGGTGTATATAACAAAGTTGTTAGTGAGTGTCTATGTACCCTTCAGAGGCTCTTATATTGCTTTAGATAAGAGATCTTAAACCTATCTTTGTTCATAGGCCACACACAACCCAGTTTGATCCTTAACGGGTCAGACTGTTAAAACTGCTGTATAACCTGTATGAACACAAGTCGGCACCTCGTCTCAAACTTGCGAATACCCTATGTCACGAAAAATTCAAGTTACGAAGGCGCTGAACGGCAATATCCTTGCCGTGGCACAGAACCAACATCCTTATTATTTTTCAGCAGCGAGTCTGAATATTAACAATGATATAGACTTTGAGTTTGGATGAAAATATAGCCAATATAATATGTGCATCCATCAGACAGCTTGCCAGTCTTAATAGGACTGCACGATCCTATTGGACAAATCATTACTGACTGTGAAGTTCATTGAAAAACACTTTGTTTAGTCCCCCAGTGGGTTGAACTGGATCTTTTGATTGGTTGTCTCTGAACCAAATGCTGTATATTTGACATGCATAGAAACAAAACTAAGATGTGAAACAATATATTGTGAAGACAGTAAATAAAGTACAAGAAAATAATAATGAATATTCCAGCTGGGCCAGTCTTCAATTTCTTAACCACTTACTCACTTCAGGCCACATAAGAAAGGTTGTTTGTGGTCTTTATTCATTATACAGTGGAACCCCGACTTAAAAAATTAATTCGTTCCCGAGGGTCTTTCGTAAGTCGAAGCACCCATCGCGCCTTTTGAGTAAGGCGATGCTGAACGATAGGCTATAGGCTAATTGCTAACTAGAACAACAATATGTCGTTCAAGTGGAACAGCGAAGCGCAATTACGAAAGCCAAGGGGTTGTCACATGATTCGGAAGGCATTGTGGGCATTGTAGGCTTAGCCAATCAGAGCCAGCAGATTTTATTACACGGGCAGAAATATTGCCGTTCAGTGCCTTCCTAACTTGAATTTTTCGTGACATGGGGTATTCGTAAGTCGGGGTTCCACTGTATACATAAAAAAAGATCAAAAGTATACAGATAAATCGTTTCTCAAAGTGAAAATACTCATCTATAGATGAAAATTAAAAGCTGAAGTTATTTACTGTCTACAGACAAGTTTCAAGTGCATAACAACATTTAAAAACATATCAAGTTGTAACAATCACGTGAGAGTCCAGCAGCAGGTGGAATAAAGAGTCTTGCTTAACAGCTCTGACAAAGGGATTTACAGCTCCTCAGGTCACACATGTTGAAAAGACCACATAGATTATACAGCAACATGCATTTGAAACATTGCAATGAACAGTTATGTTTCTACTTAATAAAGCCTGGAAAACACAAACACTTACAGTATGCAACATCAAATAAGGCTTTTAAAACATGTATCATGTATAATAGTAAATTTACTGCTGGCTTTTTCTAATCTAATTCATAAACAATTAATGTCACTGATGTTAATGAAGAGCATGTGTCTCCAGTGTCAGCCTGCATGATTTCCTTGTTAATGCTCGGGTGAAAAACAGCATATTCCTTGTCTTTTTTTTTTTTTTTTTTTTTACAACAAATGCATAAAGCAGTGTACACAACCATTAACCCAAGCTTTACCGGCAATCAGGTTTTCATTGAGGAGATCATGTTTTACACAATCAGTAAATGCAGAGGCTGGGATTACATGCATGTGACAGTTCTGTTTGTATAAAGATTAGATATGGCGGTAAGACTATCCTACTCTTTGAGCAGAGGGAAAATTACAAGAGCAATGCGCCCCCCCCCCCCCCCCTCATTTACCCTCTATCTAGCTGTAATTTTCATTTAATTTTAATAATTGACAGACATTCTGATACACGGTGTTCATTCTTCATTGGTTTTTGGTACTAATGTAGAACAATGTGTACAATTTAAGCTGGAATGTAAGTGAGTGGTGGCTGGAACCGTATTTGCTGATCTAGTGGTATCCACCTTCTATAAGTCTGTTACCTAAAATGTTGAACAAGGGTCATAATGCTTACGTAATCAATCATGTTTAGGAAATTATGAGTGTTCGACTTCATGGTCTTTTTGTGGCAGTTCGATTCAGGAGAAAGACACAGTACAACAAAAAAGGTGTCTGGTCTTTGGGGAGGGAAGACTTTAGGGAACTATAACCAAAGAGAATACCGCGCATCGTTATCTGGCCTTGGACTAAAGATAATTTCTCATACATGTCATTACGATGATTAAAGAGTCCAGAGTGCATTCTGTATGGCAAGACTAAAGTAAGGAATTTGGAAACACAACTTCCAGTGCAGGGGTAAGACGTTGTCCTTTCTGGACTGTCCCTAATGATGGACTTTTCCGTCACAGTGATTTGCTTGCTCTTTGAAACAGCTGTCTTAGCAGATAAATCCAATGCACATTTTATTGTTGTACCTCAGGAAAAAAGCTTTGGCTGATGTAAATCAGCATAGATCATGGCAGCTAATTAAAACATATACAAAAGGACACTTGTGTAAATCGAATCAAGTATTTTGCTGTCATTATTACTTTGAAATTATTTTAAAATCAGTAATGTTTTATTTGTGCTTTTGAGTATTAGGAAATAGAAATGAGAGATGCTGTAGCTGTCATAATGCACGTGGACTAAAATGCAATAAAAATCGATATGGCTACAGTTTCTATACATATATTAGGAATAACAACGTATGCCTCTTTTAGTTCAGTACAGATAAAAGCAGACCTTTGGGGGCTTAACAATGTATTATTGCGTCATGCAGTTTAAATCACGGATTGCCCCTTTAAAGACAAGTTAATTTGGGGAACTTGGACAATAATTAAAACGGCGCGAGGTGGGAGGGATGGTTTAGTAGTTGAAACAAAAGCTCTGCTTAAGAAATGCCCACTCCAGTCACCATTTCATTTTTCTTAACTCTGGCCCACTGTGTGAACCCTGAGCCGACAGAAACCAGTAAGATGACGGACTATGAAACTTCAACGGCTTTCCTCGGAGAGTGGGGATGTTTCCAGCAGCAGGTGTTTTTCCTCCTTTCTTTGACCGTCATCCCTAACGGTTTGACTGGCCTTTCCACGGTGTTCCTAGCCGACACGCCGTCCCACCACTGCCTCATACCCGCGCAACTCAACCTCACCCCCGCGTGGAGAAACAGCAGCATCCCGCTGGAGCAAGAGAGCAGCCAAGGTGGCGCGTTGGTGCGCAGCAGGTGTTCCAGATACAAACTTGTTGATATCCTGAGTTTCTCTGAAAAAGGCTTGCTGCCCGACGTTGATGTGAATCTGTCTACTGTGCCGAAAGAAAGCTGCTTGGACGGATGGGAGTATGACCAGAGCATCTACATTTCTACAATCATATCGGAGGTATATATACACACCTTTTTTCTAAATGCGGAAAAGGCTGCTTCTGCTTTTATGCTGAGGTAGAGCTAGGCGACTGTGTATAGCCGAAAAGGTAAATGTTGTGATATACAGGAAGTGTGTTAGCTAAACTCGTGTTATTATGGGAATTCATCACAAAGTCAAACAAGATGTGGCAACAATTTCTCAAATAACACAAAATCTCTAATTCGTGGAAAACTGGCCCTAGGTTGTGTGGTTTACAGGAACAATGCTGTTTTATGCTTTTAGATTGTTGTTTAACATCTGGAACACACTGGGCTGTTTGTTTTTTCTTGAAGAGAAAACAACAACAACAACAACAACAGTGTGTTGTTGTTGTCTGCACTGTATATAGAGTGTGATCTGCACTGTATATATCTTCTATGTGTTTTTTCAGTGGGACCTGGTTTGTGATGAAAGCTGGAAGAAACCACTGACTTCTTCTTTCTTCTTCTGTGGAGTTCTCACCGGTTCCTTCATTTCAGGACAGCTCTCTGACAGGTTATGGACAAGATAGCTTAATTCAGTTAAATTCTACTTATTATTATCAATTGTTAAATTCTAGTCCTATGCTTCAAAGTTGAGCTAGAGTACTATTGATCTACTGAATGAACACATGTGGAGTAATGTGACCTAGCACATTTAATCTAGTATTTACTGAGGAATAGTTTTTAAAAAAAAAACTGTTATGCCCAGCTGTATATTAATATAGCTAATCCTACCACAATATGTGTTAGATATGATATAGAAATAAATGCCCTTAAGCTCATATCTATTGCTACAGAACTAAGCTGTTGAACAAAAGTCACTGCATACAGTAGGCGAATCAGGATGCTCAAGTTAATTATACACTTTTCATTCCACAACTCTGTGTCACAGCATTAGTGAATCACAAAATGATAAAATTTTGAGCCGCATGTTAATCATCCAGATTAATTTGTTAAAAACACATAAATTTATATTTATTAGCAAAACAGTGTCAAACCACATGCTACAAATGTTTTACCATGTGTCCTGATACTAAACTGGTCAGCTTCCAGTCGAGACCAGCTATCTATAGCTCTGCTGTACTATGAAACAAAAAAAATAAAACAAGAAAGGACCCTATGCAAGGCAAGATATCTCTCTTTTCAAACTATTGCAAGTATTGCAAAAAAAAAAGAAAAAGAAAAACAGGCCTTAGAACAAATTTAGATGATTCATAACTCATTGCATTTTGTTTTTATTGAAAGCAGCTCTTGCATAATCCCTCACAAAGTCTAAACACATTTCCAGCACAACTCAGAAGCCAAGTTGGGTTAAAGGGGAAATCCATTGTTACTCATTAGAGTAAGATTTTGGGGGGGCAAACTTAAATAATTAATTGTTTGCTTATGTCTCAGAAAACCACACAATTTCAGACTATTTCATTTGTACTGGACGGAAGCTAATGGCTGGGGCGAGGATGAACTATCCAGTAAAGTTGCTGTAAAACAAAATTGTAATTAAAAAGAAGCAAAGAGATGCAGTGTCAGGGGATTGGTCAGTCTATATGGTATTGGTAGTCATTAAGTGCACATGTCATCTCATTGAAGTACACGTAGAAAAAATGAATATATGAGACCTTATTGTTGTTGTGAATTTGACTGACTCTCCCACTTTATAAAACATGCTGATTTGTTCAGTCCTGCTTTATTTCAATTTCAGGTATGGGAGAAAAATACTTCTGTTTGCTACTCAGGCAATTCAGACGGTATTCACATTGATCCAGGTCTTCTCTCCATCTTGGACGGCGTTCTGCGCCCTGTTCTTTGTCGTTGGGGTGGGCCACATTTCCAACTATGTGGCTGCGTTTGTGTTAGGTACTCTATTCAAAAGTTTTCAGATATGTTTTTTATAATACAAAACTTTTATGTAATGTAACTTGTAATTTGAATGTTTTTTATTTATTTCTAATTTTCCAAGGAGCGGAGATATTAAGCCCATATGTGCGGACTGTTTATACCACGGCGGGTGTGAATCTGTTCTTTGCTGGGGGCTACATGCTGTTGCCATTCTTTGGTTTCTTCATCAGGGACTGGAGGATGCTCCTCTTAGGCATTTCACTGCCTGGCTTCTTCTTTGTGCCTCTCTGGTGGTAGGTAGGTGTGTGTTTGTGTGTGACTGTACATGTTACGGTAACTGATAATGCACAGCTGTACATCTGGGGAGTGTTAGGATTTTTTTTTAGGGTAATCAAATTATTTTCCCTTGGATCCTTTTTAATGAAGCCAGTACAAAATATTGACAAAACATTTACATGATGTCCTGACTGCGCTTTCTTTGGTTTGAAAAGACTGAGCCTCTGTTTCTGCCCCCTCTTTTGTTTAATGAAAAAGGTTTATCCCAGAGTCTCCTCGGTGGCTACTCTCTCAGGGAAGGATAGAAGAAGCTGAGGCCATAATCAGAGACGCTGCTAAGAAGAACAAGGTGGAGCCTCCATCAGTCATCTTTAGTCCCTTGCAGGTGAGACCTTTTTTTGGGTGCAGTGCTAGAGAAGCAGCAGTTCTTTTAAAATATTTAGGGAAGACAAAATGCCTTATCTGTCAGTGTTTTCTCTGTAACTGAAAATCTGTTACTGTCACTACACAAATAATTTAGAAAGAAGGCTGTTTTACTGGAGACAGGATTGCTGTTTTTCATTTGTTTTCAGAAATCACTTAGACACTAT